ACTTAGTTTTACCTAGGTTCCATTTTCACATGAAAGGCTTTTTTTTTTTTACATGTATAGGAGGATGGAATAGACTATTTTTTTTAAATAGAAATTCTATGAGGCCCATTATCATCTCCTCTGCTCCCTCAACTTCAGAGGCAACTGAGGCCTTCAGTTTGGGGATGTCTTCAGAGTGTCAGGCTTTGTTTCTTGGCTTGTCCTCCCAGAAGTGCTTAGCTTTTTATCTTTTTCTTGTCTAATTCACCTCCTCTTTGGCTTCTAAAATTCTGTGATTTCTTTTTTTTTTTTTGTCTGCTTTCATTTCTCATTAGTCTCATTCCTTTCTTGCTTATCCGTGCCTTAAACTTTTAAATTACTGCCATTTTCAGAGAACATGGGGGTAAACATATATTTAAACTGCCATCGTGTTTAGTAACTAAATATTGCAGGTATGTAGAAAACATTTTGATTTTGTATATACATGTTTTATTATATCACCTCATTAAATTTTCTTTGTAAAGATATTTTTAGCTAATACCCTTGGATTTCCTAGATAGGTGATGATTATTCCCTTGTATAAATTTGAAAAATGAAATGCTTACTTATGTTACTATTATTTTTGTTATTTCATCGGCTAATACGTTAAAATTATTTTAGCTAATTTCTTGGATTTTCATAGTAGATCGTAATTTAACTACTTTAAGTTTGAAATTTTTTTCTTGTCTTCATTGGCTGTCACTTAAAAATTAAATAAATTGTGAACAGTCTTTTAGTATTCCTCAGTTCAATGTTATAGCCATTAATTTTTTCCTCATATGTACATTTTAGTTGTTGTTCTTTAGTTGTTGTGCATCCTTCCTTTCTGACTGGTCCTTTATGATGCCCTTGTGGTCCTCACTAAGTTCCTTGAGCATCCTTATAACCAGTGTTTTGAATGTTGCATCTGTTAGATTGCTTATCTCTATTTTGTTTAGTTCTTTTCCTGGAGTTTTATTCTCTTCTTTCATGTGGGACATGTTTCTTTGTCTCCTCATTTTGGCTGCCTTCCTGTGTTTGTTTCTGTATATTAGGTAGAGCTGCTACATCTCCTAGGCTTTGTAGGTTGGCCCTCATTCTAGAAGATGTCCTGTAGTGTTTGGTGGCACAGCCTTCCTGATGACCCCAGTTAGGCACTTGAGGTGTTCCCCCTGTGAGAACTGTATACCCTTCAGTTTAATTGCTGTTGGCACATCAATAGGAGGGATTTACTTAGGCTGATCAGCTGTAAGGATTGACTGTGACCACTGACCTCTGACCACCCTGGAGGATCAGTTGTGCAGGGATGCACCACACAGAGTAAGACTTACTGCAGCAGGGCTCTGGTACCCACTGAGTCCACCCCTTGAGTGAGTTGCTTATGGAGGTGGTTGGATGGTGGTGCTTTGACATGGTCTGAAGCTGTCCACTGGGTGTGTTGGCTCTGGTGCCACTGCCTGTACTCTGTCCTGGGGCCACCAAGTATAAGCTACAAAGCAATCTGCAGATGGCTGCTCCTTGTGCTGGGCTGGGAGGTGCCCAAGCAAAGCCAAGCTGAGAACCAAGGCTGGCTCCTGCTAGTGCTGGGCCTGGGGCCACTTAGCTAGAGGTATGGGGCTCACTGAAGCCACATGCTGCTTGTTTGAGAGATTTTAAGAAAATCTGAAGCATGAGCCCAGACAGGCCATTCCTATGGTAAAGCCAGTGGAAACAGCTTGGTAGGCCTGAAAGTTGGGAGGGGCAGGGCCTTAGGGAATCACCAGGGCAGTGAAAACAGTGTGAACCAGGTTGCTAGAGCCCCAGATATGGTGCCTGTCTGCTGGCACGTGGGGGAAGAACTCACCAAAGGAACCACAGCCTCCGCCAGCATGTCTGTCTGGGAGAAAGCTGCCTCGCCAGCCCTTGCTCCCAGTGCCAAACAGCTCAGTTCTCCCCCGTATGTCTCTGGTGCCTCTCAAGCTGCCTCCCCCATGCTGGAGCCTGGAGAGTGCAGGCCCTATAAGAGTAACTGCCTGGGACTCCCTCAGCCTCAGCCTCCCTCAGCCTCAGTTTCCACTGGTTTTTACAGCCAGCGACTTCTCTCCTGCCACTGGAACCCTGAGCTGGGGACCTGGTATGGGACTGGTACCTCTTGCTCCTCAGGGAGAACCTTCCCAGCTGAGGTATCCTCCTGATTTTTATTTGCCACACCTGGGTGTGGGACCAACCTGTTTGTGCCTTCATTCAGCTCAATTTCAGGCATTCCTGAATGATGGTTGTTGTGTAGTTTAGCTGTAATTTTTATGTGGTTGTGGGAGGAGGCAAGTGCCATGTTTACCTACACCACCATCCTGACTGGTACTCTTTATTTTTAAAATTTATTGATGAGAGAGAGAGAGAGAGAGAGAGAGAGAGAGAGAGAGAGAGAGAGCACTGATATGTTGCTCTCCTTATTTATGCATTTATTATTATTTTTTCTTATACATATATATTTTTTCTTATACATATACATGACTGGGGATTGAACCTGCCACCTTGGCCCATTATGGTGACACTCCAACCAACCAAGCCACTCAGCCAAGGCTTGACTACTTTCTAAAACACACTATTTTTAAATTGCCTCATAGTATCTTCTTTCTTTTAGATTTCTCTTGAATTTTATGATATGAAAAGCCCCCTGTCTGTTTTCCAGTGCTGGCCCCTTTTCCAATCTTCCCTCACCATTTCATGCTTTGACTAACATGGCTTCACTCTATCGCAGTTTTTAAAAATATATTCATTAAAAAGTTGATCGAGACAGTGAAAATAATATAGCATGTGCTCCATTGTCTGAGTCAATTATACATCCCTGTATTACAATTAAAATTAAAATTACTGTACATATGGACTGTAGGCCTATGTATTCAATCACCTCTGCAAATCCTTCAATACCAGGTAAAACTACTCAACCACTCCTTGTGTGTGGGCAATAAATTTTTTTCCAAAAAATCGGGTGTGGTGAAACCAAGCCGATCAGAGTGTGCTGTTCACTGATTGGCTATCCTATCCTCTTCCTATCCTGGCCACTGATTGGCTCAGCCTCATGCAAGGTCGTTTTTCTCATACATGCTTCTATATCACTACAGATCGAAGCATCTTTGCTCTTGTAAATGTTTGCGATTTCTGAGAACTTTTATCTAAGTCCCACCATGGCTCCTAAACGTGCTGCTTCTTCTAAGCCTTCTGATGATGAAACTAATCACCGGAGAAGATGCTTACCATCCAGGAGAAGGTGAAACTCTTGGATATGATCAAAGATGGCAAGAAAATCGTGGAGGTTGCCTGCCATTACGACTTGAATGAGTCTACCTTTCGCTCCATCTGTAAAGATGAAAAGAACATCCGTGCAACAGCTACTGTCTCTTTCAACAAGGAAGCAAAGTGCGTCGTGACAAGTCATAGTAAGTTCATACTGAAAACAGAGTCTGCCCTAGCCGTTTGGATCAGCGACAGCCACAGGAAAAACATTCCATTGGATCCGCTGGTCATCCAGGAGAAGGTGAGGCAGCTCTATCAGCACTTTATGGTGGACAAACCTCAACCAAGACCCTATTCTGCAACATTCATGGATTTCATGGCAAACAAGGGTTGGTTCAAGAAGTTCCAGAAGAGGTATCATCTGAAGAGTGTTGTTCTCCATGGAGAAGCTGCCTCTGCGGACTAGCCTGCAGCAAAGGACTACGTGAACAACATGTTACAGAAGATCCTTGAGGAGGGCAAGTATCCTCAAAAACAGGTGTTCAATATGGACGAAACAGGACTTTTCTGGAAAAGAATGCCTTCCTGGACATTCATTTTCAAGGATGAGGCCAGGGTCCGTCGCTTCAAGGTGTATAAAGATTGCGGACTATCATTATGTGTGGAAATGATGAGGGGTTTTTGCTTAAGCATGCCCTTATCTACAAGACCAAGAACCCTAAGGCCCTGAAGAATAAAAATAAGAACCTGCTGCCAGTGCATTGGATGTACAACGACAAGGGCTGGGTCACGAAGCAGCTGTTATCGAACTGGTTCCACAAGTGCGTCATCCCCCAAGTCAAGTTGTATCTCGTGGAGAAGGGACTCAAGTTGAATGCCCTTATCCTCATGGAGGATGCTGGAGGTCATGCGCAAGACCTATCCTATGACGGTGTGCGGATCAAGTTCCTTCCTCCCAACACCACTTCGCTGATCCAGCCCATGGATCGAGGCATTATTCGCGCATTCAAGGCCCTCTACAGGTGAAACACCCTGCAGCACGTCGAAGGCATAAACCTTGAGGAGAACTTCTTGCTGAAGGAGTACTGGCGGCAGTATACCATCGTGACCTGTCTGAAGAACATCCAGGTAGCATTGAAGGACATAAAGACGGAGACCATGAAGGCCAGCTGGAAGATGTTGTGGCCTGAAATTGTCCACGACTACAGAGGATTCAGCCCAGAGGATGTAAGCAACTCAGCAGTGGATAAGGCAGTTAGGCGATCCCAGATGCTGGGAGGAGAAGGTTTCATGGATATGACCTGTGATGATGTGGATGAGCTGCTGGAGACACATTCGGATCCCTTAACTGACAAGGATCTGGTGGAGATGACTAAGTCTGTGAGTGAGGAGGAGGAATAGCAGCCAGAAGTTCCTGAGGGTCAGGAGGAGGAAGATGTCCTTACACTTGAGCATCTCTCACAAGTCGTGAGAACTACTAAGGTAGTATAGGACATGATTGGTGAATGGGACCCACAAATGATGCGTGCATTGCGGTTCCGGAATGCACTTGATGGAGCGATAGAACCCTACAAAAGCCTCCTCACGCATATGAAAAGACAGCGCCAGTAACTGCCTATCACGATGTTCTTCAGCCTCGTACCCAGACACCCACTGCCTACTCCTAGTGCTCCTTCAGCGGAAGATGACGATGCACCTGCTGAAGATACTGCACCACCTGAAGACTCTCCTACTGAGGTCGTGCCTTCAGAGGAGCAGTAAACTTGCTCTTCTTTGCTGTGTAGTACATCTCTTCATCGTCATCGCTTCATCATTGAACAAGTTGCACTAGTTTCATAGGTTAGTGGTTGTGTGTAAGAACTGTGTGTGTGTAATTAAATGTACAATAATAATATGATATTTGTAATGTCTAATATGTCTTATTTTCTCTTATTTTGCCTAATATATTGGGTCTAATATGAGTGTAATGGTGACTAAAGGGTGTTATTTCATGTCTAGAGGGCTCTAATAATGTTAAAAAATGTATTTAGAAGGTCGCAAACAGGTTTTCTATGCTTTAACTGCGAAAATACTATATTTATAAATAAAGAATCCTACTTTGTGGAAATTCACTTATTGCAGTAGAGTGTGGAACTAATTAACAATGATAAATGAGGGCCAAATGTATTTATATATTCCTTTTATCAATTTGGCCAAATCCTGAACCAATCAAGTATATTTACTTATGTTTAAGTCCCATTGTTTTATAGCTAAATTTGGGGTATAAAATCTTTTTATATTATGTTTATTTCTATAATCTGCCTTAAGTCATTTGGAAGAACATAAGATATAAATATATGCATTTTGAAGAAGTTAGAAAATTACATTATAGATTTGAGTAGTCATACTAAACTTAAGAATTGTAATAACTGTATATTTCACAAGAAAGTGGAAATGACAGATTATAGTCATCCATTATCAATATTTTGATAAATATACTCAAATTTTCATTGACTTTCTAGACTAAAAATCAATAAAAATGCATACAGTTTTTATACAGTCTGTAGTTCTCTAATTAGATATTTTTTCATATTTACGCCAGTCCTCTCTAAAACACTGTAAAAGTAGTATCAGGAAATAATAAAAATATTTTATGTTTTGAAAATATTAATTTCTTGGATAATTCTTATTGTATCACACATCTGAATACTCTCTGATAAATAAGGGACTATTTTTCTTGAGGGAAAAGTATAGCTAGCTTAATGATTTTTCTGTGAAGATATATTAGAGGTGACTTTCTACTATTTTCTTACCTGTGGAGCCACCTGCCTGAATGAGGGCATAGTGAATAATGGCAGAAAATTAGAGAACTTTGCAGCTTTAAAAAATCTTTATTGCCCCCCTAAGTTGAAGAATTGCTTAACAAGCGCTGTATAATATTTTCTATATTACTTTTTTCAAAATGGGTTCATCATCAGAGAAATGTAAAAAATATGCATCAGATTTAGGTATTTATTTTTATTTGAAATATCCCTGGCACATGAACATGCAGAAAACTATCAATGGATATGCAGGATCATGAACAAATAAGAAAAATAAACTGTCCTTCAGTGGTCCTAAGAAAATGTTCATGTTGCTGTGCTAGGAACCGGTAGATAGATCTAGAGGCTAATAGTTGTACAGTAGAACATATTTTCACGAGTCATTCTGCTTTAGCCTAGGAGAGGGTCTGTCTCTGGGCTCTCTTTCTTCTCTGGGAATTGCTCAAATGAGAAAATAAATAAGACATAAGGGCAGACAGAAAAAGAAAACACCTGGGTCAGAAACTGCTTTGTTCTGTGTGCATTTTATCTTTCAATGAGGAAATAAATTCTCCAGACCTCTTTAAATAGAAATATTTAATCTAAAACATAAATTTCTTTTAATTCCCTTCTATTTTTTTTTCTTTTGCATGTTGTGCAGTGAGTTTCCATGACATGTAAGATTTATAACGGGAATGGGAAACATACAGACAGTGAGGAGAGTACAAGTCAACCTCATGCTTCTGAGGAGGCTTTGGAACATCTTGGTGTATTACAGAGGGCATTGGAGCTGGTAAGCATTAAATCTAGTCACATACCTAGCAAAACTACCACTACCCCAGAGTAGGATACTTCGACCACTCAAAGCTGATGAACTTTGAGGATACAGTGTGATTAAAAATATGCTAAATTAGTATGTTGTGCTCTAGATTAAAAAGATATATGTCTATGCAGTTTTCCAGCTTTCCACAAAACTGAAAACAAACAAACAAACAAACAAACACGGAAAAAGTGAAAAACTCATTGTAGAACTGACAAGTACAAACGACAAGCAACTTGTAGTTGGAAACTCTGAACATTTTTCCTTTTCCCTAAGGTAGATAGAACTAAATTAAAAAAAAAAACCTAATCTGATTTAACATCATAACACCCTTAGGTTTTGCCTTGCTACTTAAAAAAAGCAGAGAAATAATTGATAACTTTCCTACTATGTCAGTGAACCCAGAAATTCAAGGTTTGCGCCAACCAAAAGTATTCTTTTTCTACTCTTCTGCTTTGATCTGTGCAGCATAAGTACTTTTTTGCCCCTTGGTTTTTCCCACCTTTCTTTTCGCTGTTAACACTGACACCACCATCCAGAGATAGCAACATTCAGAAAACAACTGTAGGAAATAGTAAGAAACTTATGGTAGTAGGATGTGTTCCCAGAAAAATCAATGAAAACATATCTATACTTATATTCACATTGGGAAACAGTTAAACATCAAAGATAAAGGAAAAAATACCATAAAATATCTAAGTAAACAAAACAAAACCAACAGTTATCTATATAGAAATAAAGCTAGTTTATTTTCTTCCAACAAAATGTAGTAGTTAGTTGTGGCAGAGAATTTACTGCTCAAAAAATATCTACAAATATGTTCTTCTGCATGTTTTCTAGCCCCCTTATTGGTAGGCATACTCATATGATTTGGCTCTGAGTGGAAGTAACACATGTCACTTCCATTCTGAAAATTTTGCAAATTTGATTTTATCTCCCAAAGGGCCCATTAGGCCCATAGACCCAGACTGTGGATATCTTCTCAGATACAGAATGCAGAGTTGGAATAAACATTCTTGGCCACTGAAAAATCCCCACATTTCCTCCAAATGATAGGTAAGTGGGACAAGAGAAACCCCTGGAATTGCACCTTGTTTCCAAAACAATAAAACAAAGGCTATCATCCCATCTCTCAGTATCCATTCTATGGCTTCTTCACAAGTCAGACTCTAGGTAGAAAGAAAGTGAGAACTGAATTTTCAAGGACTCTTGTGGCTTATATTTAGAAGTCTCCCAGCATCGCTTCTCCTGTGTCCTGTTGGTCACAGCAAGTTGCAAGGCCAGTTCAGATTTAAGGGGTGGTGAAATACGTGCCGCACGAGGAATGGCTAAGTCCCATTGCCAAGAAGTGTCAGACAGGTGTGCGAAGAGTCCTTGTTCACAAGAAATTACCATATCATAGGAACTGGCAAAATAATGAGAAGCATTTCATTTTCACCTGACATGAATAGAAGTGCACCTTCACTGTTTTACCTTAGGGTAATGTCTTTTTAAATCTCTTTACTCATAGAGTCTAGTGGGATATTGATTGTTGGGAAGGTCAGTTTTAGGTACTCTGTCTTCTAACCCCCATTCAGCCACATAAGACTGGGCCTTGGGCTTGAAACACTTCCTTCCAAAGCGATAAATAGTCCACACAGTCTGCATTAGGCTTATCACCTTGTATGGGAATCTCTTTCTCTATTTCAGGCTCAAGAAACGCTCTCTTGTCTTTTCTCGAAGTCTGTGCATCATGTGAAACCTTGTGAACACCCTCTTATATATGTCCTCCACCAGGGAGGGAATGGGGTCTTTCTACCATGGCACAAGATCGGTATAGTAGGAAATTGCCCTTCATCAGCCACAGGGAGAGACCCAGTGGCCATGGGGGCCAATGTTCATTAGAGAGGCTGATCTTGCTCTGTTTATTCTCTATGTAAGAAATGCTTTGTTCCACCCAGTGCTTGATTGCATTGTGTTCTTCTTGGTGACTCTGATACCAAGGTGCAATGAGCAGAAATGTTCAGAGCCCTTCCCTAGGATTGGTAATCAATGCATACTAATCTGCTTGAACAGCTATCATTTGTACATTTCAGAACATCATGCTATGGAGCATGATATTGATGACTATGCAAATTGGACTGTTGAGAAATATCAAGCATATTAGATGCTTTAGTTGTATAGATATGTGTTAGAGTTTGAGAGATAAATCTTATTTGGGGCCTGCCAACCCACTAAGTTTTGGGATGTTGTGATGTGTTTTTCCAAATGAAAGCTAAGATGCTGTGCTTTGTATGACCTGCCATTAAGGAAGTGGTACAACACTTGGACGTCACCTCTGGAGGCCTTTTGGGAGAGATGCTCTGATCCATTCATTGAGTAACCCACCATGTTTCATGTTTTGGGGAGAGCAGAGGGAAAGAAAGTTATGCAACTAGTTCAAGGCTACTGTAAGCTGCCCTGTCATCCATCAGATTCAGTGGTGCTCCACATATCACAACGATAACTAAGGGTGCCATATACAACCTCTGTAGAGCTACATTAAGAATAACATTACACAATTTCTGAGGGTTTGGAGGAAAAGTCTTCTGCTGATAACTATATCATTTTGAGAAGCAGCTCCTCACTTGCTACTGGGACCTGGTAGAGGCTGAGTTCCACAACATTGAACACTATGACACTATGTAACCTGAGATGTCTACTGTGCATTAGGTGTTATCAGACCGATCCATAAGATTGGGCAGCATCAATCATGAAATTGAAGTATTAAGATCTAGAGTAGATTCAGGAATGTATGCAAGGAACAAGAAAACTGCATGGACAGGTGGCTCAGGCTCTCATGACACCTACTCATGCTGCATTGTCACGATTCCTTCTGCCTACAGCTAGGGCTTCATGGAGAGTTTCTTGCAAATAGCTGACATACAAAGAAAAAAACACCCAGGCCTTGTTATAGAGAGCTCTGCAGGATAAGCTGGCACAAGCTGGAAATGATCTTTTGCTGTTTTACATGCCCACTCAGCAGTGACCATCTGGTGAAGGAAAATGTATGTATATCCCTAGGTATCCTATATCTATGCTAAAATGGCTTTGGGAGCTATGCATGGATTCAACAACATGACCTTCCCCCATCAAGGCTGCTTTGCTTGCACTGGCCCTACAGGCTGCCCAACTTACCAATAACAGAGGACAATACTAGGGACCTGATATGGCTCCATTTTCCAGGAGACCAGCTAACCTTTTAGGGGCAGAATAATTACATTGCCTGTCCTCCGTCATGGAGAAGGCAGTGACGTGTCCTCACTGAAATACTTATCTTGAGTTTGGATTTTCCTTTCTTCCTTCCAATATTACTACTACACCTGAGGACTTAGAGAAAGCCCTGTGTTTCATGATGGTATTCCACACATTGCTTCTGACCAAGGAACTGATTTCACTACAAGAATTATGTAGCAGTGAGTTCTTTATTCCCATGATGGAATGTTTCCAGTACAAGAAGGAGAAGTGGTCCCATCAAACTATAGGTTCAGACCACCACCTAGGCACTGAGGGCCTATTAACCACAGAGTCAGCACTCACAGTGGGAACACATACCTGGCTTCCCACCTGCCCTTCTCCTCCGTGCAGCAAGGTCCCTGCCTTAAAATCTTTGTGTACTAAGGCAAAGGGATTTTTACTTTTTTTTTTTGGTTCAACTCTGATATACTAGTTAAATATATAAAAATCAAATTGTTATAAATGTTTAAAAAGTGAACAAAACCAATACGAAATATTCTTAAAATAAAAACAGACATTGCCTAAAGAAACTACAAAATAACTATCTGGATTTAAAACCCTAGATTAGTCTAACACAGATGAAGAGAAGGTTAGTGGAAAACTGGACACATGTGGTTAGACAGGAATTTTACACATTTGAAGGAGGAAGGTGATAAATAAATGATGCCATTTCACTCTTGGCTCTAATTTTAAATATAAGCTTAATGCTGCCTTTCAAAATCTTAAAGGTAAACACATGAAATATAAAAATAAGATATAACTTTTAGAAATAGAATTTAGATGCAAAGTAAATATACTTGAAGATGAGAAAATTGGCAACAAAAATATCAAGGCAGCATTAAAAACATGTATAAAATAATAGATGTAAGGCAAGTTAAATGACTTATTAAAAATATAATGAATTAAGCCAACATATGAAGGGAAAGTTTTTTTTTTTAAATTTTGGTGAAAACAATATATTTAAGTGTAGATATTTATTAATAAATTCACATGAAAATAAGCCAGTTGTGAAACCAAGATTTTACGTACAAAACTTTTAGTAGTTCTCGACACTCACAATCTGAATGCATGTAATCCTCCTGCTCTTAGCGCTGTTCTGTCCTTAGCAGTTCCTGTATTTCCTGGTCTAGAGGCCTCCCCTTCACCCCTTCCACAGAATAACCCTTCAGTCTTTAGTCCCTGCACGGAGATAAAAGGTTGGGCATTTACAGGGTGTGGGAACAGTTGCCTACTGTGTGAAGTAAGGAAGAGATTAATCAGTCTGACTATCACTTCCTAAACTGACTTAAACAATGCTGTATTTTAATTCCCTTTAGCCTCACCTCCTGAGCTGTCTTCAGCTGCCATTCTTAGGTCTTTAGGGAGTTTCTGCAGAAATAGTGATGATTTCCTGTTTTCCCCACTGCTTATTAAGGATTTGGTTTACTTAGGATTACTGTATCAGTTACCACTGTCTACGGCTGGCTTTCCAGCTTCCAAAATGCTATTGCCCATCTCCTCTTCTGATCCTGTTATCTTTGTGAGTTGCATCTTCTCCCCTCCTTATTATCCCTGCACACTTGTTTATCTGATATTGTGGCAGATGAGGTGGGGAGTGGGAGAGGAATTCAGTGATAATTCATGAGTTCAACTGGCCGTCTTTTTTTTTTTTTTATTCTCACCCAAGGACATTTTTTAAAATTTTTTGTTCAGCTAGAGTGGGAGGGAGAGAGAGAGGAGAGGAAGAGAGAGAGAGAGAGAGAGAGAGAGAGAGAGAGAAAGAGAGAGAGAGACATCGATGTGAAAGAGCACATGAGTGGCTGCCTCCCGCACGACAGGGCCGGGGACAAACTGCAACCGAGGTACCTGCCCTTAGCGGGAACCGAACCCAGGCCTCTCTGGACCGCAGGCCGATGCTCTAACGGCTGAGCCAAACCTGCAAGGGCTCAACTGGCCATCTTTAACCAGAAAAACTCTATTTTGAGTTTTTAAAAATTATCTTCATTGTTGAAAGTATTACAGATGCCCCTTCTTTTCCCCCCATTGACACCCTCCTTCCTGTTCCCACCACCCCCTGCCTTCACTGCACTGTCATCTTTGTCCATTGGTTATGCATATATGCATATCAGTTCTTTTGTTTATCTCCTCCGTCCCCCAACCATTCTCCTTCCTGCTGAGGTTTTTCAGTCTGTTCCCTACTTCCATGTCTCTGGATCTATTTTGTTAATCAGCTTATTTTGTTCACTATATTCCATAAATTAGTGAGATCATACGGTACTTGTCTTTCTCTAACTGGCTTACTTCGCTTAGCATAATACTCTCCAGGTCCCTCCATGTTGTCTCAAAGGATAAGAGATCTCTCTTTCTTACAGCTGCACAGTAAGAAAGCCATTGTGTAAATGTACTACATCTTTTTTATCCACTCATCTACTGGTGAACACTTGGGCTACTTCCAGATCTTAGTTATTGTAAATAATACTGCTGTGAACATAAGGGTACATATATTCTTTCTGATTGATGTTTTAGGCTTCTTAGGATATATTCCTAGAAGTGGGGTCACTGGGTCAGATGGCAATTTCATTTTTAATTGTTTGAGGAAACACCATATTGTTTTCTATAGTGGCTGCACCAGTCTGCATTCCTGCTAGCAGTGTACTAGAGTACCTTTTTCTCTACATCCTCACCAGCACCTGTTTGATGATTTGTTGATGGCCACCATTCTGGCAAGTATGAGGTGATACCTCATAGTCATTTTAATTTGCGTCTCTCTGATAATTAGTCAGGTTGAACATTTTTTTCATGTGCTCTTGGC